CTACTCTACTCTACTCTACTCTACTCTACTCTACTCTACTCTACTCTACTCTACTCTACTCTACTCTACTCTACTCTACTCTACTCTACTCTATTCTACTCTACTCTACTCTACTCTACTCTACTCTACTCTACTCTACTCTACTCTATTCTACTCTACTCTACTCTACTCCACTCTATTAATCTATCATATTCTACCTCTACTTACACTATTCTACTCATACTCCAATATTAATCTAATCTACTCTACTCTACTCTAATCTATACTGCATTTTGTTTAGTTAGTGTTGGGATGTGTCAGTATAATATCCAACCTTATTTCTATCATGGTTCATCTTAGATACAAGGAATAGTTTATAAAATGGTTTTAACTTTAATCCGAGTGTAGTCCCAACCTACAGTTGTGCAAACACTAGCTAGGGAACCCAGTTTTGTCTGGAAACTAAAACCAATTCCACAGTGATCCAAAGGTTGCAAGATCTCACGAAAAATTCAGCAATTTGCCAATTACAAGTTTCAATTCTTAATCAAAAAGTCAGTAATTCCCTTTCCATGATTTTTGGTTATCTATGTATATTTATAAAGTATTAGTCTTCACATATTTGCTTGTCTTTCCGATCATAACTCGGGAATCCCTTGACCATATTCCCTCAAATATTACAAAATTCGACTTTTTTTGTTTAAATCAAAGATGAATATTTAGATTTTTTGACTTTTTAAATGCTAGCAGAATCGAAACTGAGAAAATTTTTGAAAAGCTGGGAAACCCAGACGAATTATTTTGGACAGTTTTAAAACTGATTACCGGTCAATCATTCTACTTTTTGATATTTTTATGAGTTTATGTAACTTGAGAAGCATGATATACCAAAATTAAACTATCAGGAGAAGTCAACATTCGACAATCTTGTTCTTCTTCTGTCTATCAGCGACCTACTCTTTGTTCTCGTCGCTGTCGCTGATATGTCGCTTATTGCCGGTTAGTATTGCCATGGGAAAATTATTACATTTTTAAAAGAACAATAAAAAAGGGATATAAGGATATCTAGGAGTTTATCTGGATATCTGGATATCTAAATACATGGATATCTGTATATCTATATATCTGGATATTTGGATATCTGGATATCTTGACAGCTGGTTATCTAAATATCTTAATATTTCGATATCATAAAATATCTAGGTGGATATCTGGATATCTGCATATCTATGGATATCTGTATATCTGAATATCTGATTATCAGGGTATCTGGATATCTGTGTAATTGTATATTTAGTTATCTGATCTGAGCTGAAAACTTTAGAATGGGATATCCTTAATCCCGATCGGTTAATTAATCTGGAGATTAAAAATGAGAGGAGAACAAGCATTATTTAATCTGGAGATTAAGAAAATGAGTGGATCAAGCATTAATCCCGATATCCACTATTCAAAAGTTCCCAGCTCTGGATATCTTGATATCTGGGTTTTTGGATTTTGGTTAGACTGATTATGTATATTGTTCAGTTTTTAATGTTTGTCAGTTTAACAGCTTGTTCAGTGTTGGACTGATTATATATAGTACAGTGTTGGACTGATTATATATTGTTCAGTGTTTGACTGATTATATATTGTTCAGTGTTTGACTGATTATATATTGTTCAGTGTTTGACTGATTATATANGATTTTATATTGTGCAGTGTTTGACTGATTATATAGTTTTCAGTGTTTGACTGATTATATATTGTTTAGTGTTTGACTGATAATATATATATTGTTCAGTGTTTGACTGATTATATATTATTTAGTGTTTGACTGATTATATATTGTTTAGTGTTTGACTGATTATATATTGTTCAGGGTTTGACTGATTATATATTGTTCAGGGTTTGACTGATTATATAATTTTCAGTGTTTGGCTGATTAGATATTGTTCAGTGTTTGACTGATTAAATATCAATCAGTGTTTGATGATATATATTGTTTTGTAATTGACTGATAAAATAAGATTTAATGTTTGACAGGGTGAGTTAAAAAAACCGGTTTTATCGATGTGTTGGGCAATATTTTAAAATTTTCTTTTTCTTCTAATCCTAATTCCAATTACAATTTTGTCTAAAACGTCGATAATCCCGGGATGTTTTACTCACCCTGAATTATTTAGTGTTTGATTGGCCGGTTAAGGAGGATGACCCCATAATGTTCCTGCTCACCCCGAAGTTCTTCTACCCAATGAAGAACATCTTGAACAATCTCAGGAAAATAAACAGAAAATTTTTAAATTCTAATCCGAAAAATAGAATTTTTTTTTGCCCAATGAGTTTATTTTCCAACTATTTATTTAAATGGAATTGAACTAAGGAAAGTTTCTAAATTAGGTCCTGTTTCAAAAATTCGAAAGCAAGGTGTTATTTAAAAAAAAACAATTTTACTCAGTCTTTCTAAGTCTTTCTTAATTATATAAAATATAGTTAAAAACCTGATTCCTAAGAATTGTTTAAAACTTTTGTATTTGCTCTAGTTCACTCTCTTATGAATTTTGCATCTTTATTCTTGTTTAAAGGAAGTGACCGGCTATGTAAGGTAGTTGAACTGAGTATGCAGTTTTGTGGAAAACTTCTTTCGGATTCATTTGAGACATATTAAACTTTTTAAAGATCTGTTAATCCTGAGTTTGAGCGCAAATTCGAGGTTCAAAACTCCTTTTTTGGGGGTGGATACGTTTTCAGAATTAGTTTTTTAAAATTATTTAATAACGACGACATAAAATGTAAAAAAGTTCTACAATAAACTACAGACGTCATGTATAGGAACATGTTGAGAAAATAAAAATCAATCTTATAATCGAAATAAGTAATCTTATTTAATTATTAGTTTGTATTTTCTCATTATTCTGGTTTCTCATTAGTCACAAAGATTTTCGCAGATTTTCTAGAATTATTATTGAAAAGACGACATTTGAAGAATTTGAAGAAATCTGCGAATAAATTCAAAGAAGATAAGAAATTCAATATTAATAAAAACGAAATAATCCCATTTTAGCATTGATTTATTGACAAATTTCTTTTGAAAAATATGTTCCTAACCATCTAATTAGACTACTGTATAATTTTTACTTTATTTTTCGTTGTTGTTATTCAATAATTAAAAAAAAAATTTCTGAAAACGCATCCACCCCCGAAGTAGGAGTTTTGAATGTCGAATTTGCGCTCAAACTCAGGATTTACAGATCTTTAAAAAGTTTAATATGTCTCAAATGAATCCGAAAGAAGTTTTCCACAACACTGCATACTCAGTTCAACTACCTTACATAGCCGGTCACTCCCTATAATAATAATTCTTTGATTGTGAACAAAATAGAAAAAATGCAACAACAAAAAATCAAAATAATTTCTGGTTTAGACCTTTTAGAACACACTACTGAAGCTCTCATTTATCATAACATATTACCATTTACTAAGATGATAGAATTTAATGTATTAAAGTTATTTGAATCCAGTGGCCGAATTTAGAGAATTTGAACGGCTGTTTAAATTTAAGCCGCGGTTTAAATATGGTTGGTTCCACTTAAAATTGTATCAAATGTTTCAAGATTTAAGCCGGCGCTTAATTTAAACCGGGTTTTGGCGGATTTAAACCGCGGCTCAAATTCTTTAAATTCCATCTCTGGAAATTACCGAACGGTTTTGAAAATGAGTGGAGTAGAAGATTAATTTAAATGATATAAATGTACAACGGACAATTCATTTAAGATTAGATCAAATAAATAATTTTCATAAATATACAATGCTATGAAGGGTATCGTTGTGAATCAGAATTGACATTATGTCTGCAGTCACTTTAAACCTCTCAGTTGATCCAATATTAATTAAACATCTTTTTAGCCACCCCGTACGTCCCTGCCCCCATATTAATTAAATTGTAATTAAAATGTCTATTATTAATTTTATTATTATTATGAAGTATGAGTATTTCTTTCAAATACATAATGATTTTTAATCTTTGGAAAAACAATGTTTAAAGTCGCAGATTAAAAATCGTTTATTTCGTGAAATAACGGATAAATTGTCCGTGCGTACAGTTTGTCAGAGAAACTTCAGATTAATAATCCGTTATTTCGCCAAGTTACAGATTTTTAATCCGTAAGTAAGTGATTAAAAATCCTTTAATTTTCAGACTTTTAATACGTTATTAAGCGACCGTCCGTTCTGAGTCGCTTTCTTTTAAAAGAAAGCGATTTTTAATCGTTTTCTTCACCAAGATAAGGATACAGTGTAGTTACCCATAAAAGATGAGTCCTGTACGGAATTATATCTAAGTCAGAACTCTTTATTAAACCTTGATATCCTCATTTTTTTAGAGTTTCCAGTCCTCTGGAGACTTAACTTCGTGAAGTAAAAAGCAAACGCGTTAGATCTCTCCTCATTAGCTAGAAATGTTCGGGTGCAGACAAAATTCCAGCCAATGTTGTTTAATTCGTACTATTCTGTTTACTGTTGTACTTGCAGTACGTTTCTGACAATGTCGATTGCTTTTGAGAGATGGTTAGCTGTTTGCAAGCCACTAGTTCACAGGTCAGGCAGAAATATATTTTTTATTTTTAGAGGAAACGGTCGGTACAATTTAAAGGCACTGTCAGTGCAATCTAAAGGGACTGTCAGTGCAATTTAAAGGGACTGTCAGTACAATTTAAAGGGACTGTCAGTACAATTTAAAGGGACTGTCAGTGCAATTAAAAAGGACTGTCAGTGCAACTTAAAGGGACTGTCAGTGCAATTTAAAGGGACTGTCCGTGCAATTTAAAGGGACTGTCAGTGCAATTTAAAGGGACTGTCCGTGCAATATAAAGGGACTGTCAGTGTAATTTAAAAGGACTGTCAGTGCAATTTAAAGGGACTGTCCGTGCGATTTAAAGGGACTGTCTGTGCAATTTAAAGGGACTGTCAGTGCAAATTAAAGGGACTGTCAGTGCAATTTAAAGGGACTGTCAGTGCNATACAGATTATACAGATTATACAAATTACACAGATTATACAGATTGTACAGATTATAGAGATTATATAGATTATACAGATTATACAAATTAAACAGATTATACAGATTATACAGACTATACAGATTATACAGATTATACAGACTATACAGATTATACAGATTTAACAGATTTAACAGATTATAAAGATTATTCAGATTATACAGATTATACAGACTATACAGATTATACAGATTATACAGATTATACGGATTTTATATATTATACGGATGATACAGATTATACAGATATGTTATCTGATCTGTTATCTGATCTGTTATCTGATCTGTTATCTAATCTGTTATCTAATCTGTTATCTGATCTGTTATCTGATCTGTTATCTAATCTGTTAACTAATCTGTTATCTGATCTGTTATCTGATCTGTTATCTGATCTGTTATCTGATTTGTTATCTGATCTGTTATCTATTCTTTTATCTAATCTGTTATCTGATCTGTTATCTGATCTGTTATCTGATTTGTTATCTGATCTGTTATCTATTCTTTTATCTGATCTTGTTATCTGATCTGTTATCTGATCTGTTATCTGATCTGTTATCTGATCTGAATAATCTATGATATAAGGATTCCTGGCAGTTTCCACCAACCTACCTAAATGGTTTGAAACAACAGTGGTGAGCAAAACTTTTAATTTTATTCCAGATTTTAGAAATTTTCTCATCTATTTCAGAAAGAATCTATAAGTACCCAAAATTTTCATTTTTGTTAATTTTACTGCTGATAGAAAATTTTTGATATTTTTGATAATTTATTTTTAAATGTTGCGATGCAAAAAAACAGTTTATTAGATATTTTACTGGATTACACAAGATGACAAACATGTCAATTAAAATGACAAATACAGTTTCTTTTTAAAAAAGAGAAACATATCTATTAATTTCAAGAAATCACGATTTCAAGAAACCCATTTTTCTTGTAAAAACACAGTGATGAGGCAAATCGGGGGTGTGTGTCGAGAAAAAAATCCGCAAAACTAAAAATTAAGTTACAGAAAACAACACATTAACACTTTTTTTTCAAGCTTTATGAATGACCATGCATGCTATGTTTTATATAGAAAATATAAATAGATATAACACTAATATTTTGGTTTGCAGTGATAAAGTTTTTGAACAGACATTTTTTCTTTGTCGAGAAGGTTTAAAGGGACTGTTAAGCAAAAATGAAAGGGAGTATAGGGTGAAACCTGAATACTTCAGAAGCTGATTGCGACCTATATATGAGATCTATCTGATGTTACTGTCTCAAGAAATTTATATAAAACTGTGTCAACTTATAACAAAACTTATATATATATGAGAGTGGTATGAGAATCTAAGTTTTAATACAGATTACATTCAGCAAATACGAAACGAATCTGTATCACGTGACCAGATATATGCACTGCCATTGGTGGAAGTTCTGTTCATATCATACATACATATTAATTAGATTATCTCATATATATATATAAATATATATATATATATATATTATACATACAGGACATTTGTATATATATATAAAATGTATATTTAAACTGAAAAAGTTGAAAATACTATATATATATATATATGTATAAGTTTTGGTGGACACAGATTTATATTAATTTCTCGAGACAGACACACCAGATAAAACTCATATAAGGTTGCGATCAACTCTTGAAGTGTTTCAGCCTTACATTTTTCCTCAACAGTCCCTCTCCGTGTTTATTGGCATGAGTGTACTGTTGTATATGAAAAAATACGAAATAGGGAGATATATGTTCTCCAGTCCAGTACACTTGGGATAGTTTACTAATAAAGGATGTTAAGAGATTATGCATACAGTACAAATATCAAATACGCAGTACGCTTTTGGAGTAGACGTGTATGGGGAGGTTTTGTATCTTGAATTTTACAGTTTTCTTAGAACAGTTTATTAACGATGAAATATTGCTCTGTAAAAGACTGTAAATGTATGTCTTCCTGTTAAAATAGAATCCTGCACATGATAAAGGAGTAGTGGATTTTAATAGTTACATAGAAAACAAATTCTCCATTTAAATATTTTCAGAAATCATCCCCGAGTACTGTACTATACAGATTGACCTTTGGAAGTGAAATACATGACCTGTACAACTAATAAAAGATTAGCGTACATCAAGGAGATAATGAATAGAAGAAAAATAGAAAAAGTTAAGGATTTTAGTTTTATACGAAAAGGATCTTATTACAGAGACATTTTCAATCAAATTCAAGGTTATCCTGCCCCCCCCCCCCTAGATGTCTGTTTATCATTCGTGTTATTGTTTACAATCTTTATTATTGTTGTTACGCAAAAACTAGTTCTTCAGCAGTCCAAAACGTCACAGTAAAGTGTACGGAAACCCTATTGCCCCCTCCTTCCATTCAATATCTCCTTGAGCGTACATCATCACTCTATATACTGTAACCTCGTTGGGAATAACATCGAATAAGTTAGAACCTTTAAGTCTACAGTGTTATTGATAATTTCAAAACATGAGCTTGTGTATACTGGTCTTGAATCTTGATGCAATGGATAATTATAGATAAAAGAAGCTTTTAACAAAGCAATAGTAAATAAGAAAAGATATTTTCAATTGTATTTTAATTTAAATTGAACATTTAAATTGAATCTTTTCTTTAAATAAGGTCGAGCGGGATCAATTCATCGGAAACAGCAATGACCAACGGAACAATTCCGAATACTGGATTAAGAAACAGGAATTCCAAACAACAGACCTAAGGAGGAACCCGCACTATATCAGGTATTAAACAGCTCTATAAATGTCAAAACAGCTGAAACCATCAGGCCCAAATTTTGTGTGGGACCTCACATAACCCCAGGGAAGGTTTATAGATAGATGATACAAGTCTTAGTAACCAAAGTTGAGACTCATACCAAAGATGAGACTCTCAGCTCCCTCCCTCCCCTCTCTCCACACTCTACTCCCCCTCCCTTTCGGTATGAATTTTTTCAGTCCCTTTCAGCCTGAAAGGGAGTTCAAAGTGTACAAATCATGTAAATGTTCACAAATTATATGCAGTAGAGTACATTAATACAGTATGTTCCCTAGACTATTCATTTCAATTTCGAAATTTTCAAAGCTGTTAAATAAACTTTATAAAATTAATTAGGTGAATAAAATACATAATTTGATTTATAGTTATAACGGAAAATCATGGTTTGTAAAGTGAAAGGCATAGAGCCTATGTGAAATGATCATTGGTCAATGATGAAACCAGCCTATTTCATAATTTGGTTTTCTTTTAATATTAATTTTAGATTTTTTATAAAATGATGGTCCAGGGCCCCAAAAGGTTACATAGCGCAAATATGTGAAGTACACCTGCAGTAAGGAAACAGTACAACAAAATGGCCGTTTTACACTTTTTTCTAGTAAATTCCACTCTAACATATGTTCTATTCTCTTTGGTCTTTACGCAGGCAATCCACCGAAAGTATTCTCTCTGGATCTATAAAATCCATTTCCTCTATTTCATTCTTGCGTAATTCAGCTCGGCTTATGCCTGGCTCACTCAGCTTGTTCCATAGTATTTATAAGAAATTCTGTGCAGTGGGCACACAGTTCAAGAGAAACCTTCAGCGAGTCCAAACAGACATTGAATAAATTGATAATGTTGTTTGAGGGGATACTGATAGCTGCAACAGTTTTCCTCATTTTCTATCGATATGTTACCAAGAATTTTGACTGCTGGGAAAAAATCGGTATACCCTATATAAAGGGAATATTTCCATATGGTAGTCACATTGAGATATTGACACAGTCTAAGCATATTAATGAACTGTTCCGTGAGGGTTATGAGAAATATCGAGATGAGGATTTCCATGGAATGTTTTTGTTTGGAAAACCTGTTCTTGTCATACACAACACAGAGATGCTGCGACATGTTATGGTAAAAGACTTTAACTATTTTGTGGACAAAAATGATTCTAATTTTACCAAGCTTTTTGATGGAGGTGAATATGATCAGTATTGGCTGAAGCAACTTACCAGTCTGAATGGGGATGAGTGGAAAGATGTAAGATCAACGTTTTCCCCTATTTTCACCTCTGGAAAGATGAAAGGTATGCTGCGTTTCATCGCCGAGATTGCACAGTGTCTAAAAACTGAGTTTAAAGCTCATGCTGATTCTGGACAAGATTTTGAGCTCAGGGTAACAAATTCTATATTATTAACATATCTATTATCTCATGCTCATTATGATTTAGGAAGTTTTTGGAAAGTTCAGTTTAGACTCGCTTGCATATTGTGCTTTTGGAATCAACCCCAAGAGCTTTGAGGGTGAAAAAACAATATTTGTAAAAAATGCAGCAAGAATGTTTACCATTAATCTCTTGGATAACATAAAAATCTTCTCAAGATTACTTCCCTGCAGTGCTGAGCTGCAAAAAATGCTAAACCTTAGTATATTAAAGCCAAAAGAAACTAAATTCTTTTACGAAGTTATCAAGAAAACCATTAAGCACAGAAGAGAAACTGGAGACCGTCCTAATGACCTCATCGACATGATGATTGATTGCATGAAGCCAATGTCAGGAACTGAGAAGAACTCATATTCTGAATCTTATGATCAATTTGAAAAAGATATGGAGCTTCAGCATAAGAAGACTAGTAAAATTGATGAAGATATGGTTGTGTCTACTGCCCTCATTCTGTTGGTTGCTGGATATGACACTACAGGAATGACTCTGTCCTACATTGGATACTTCCTCTCAAAGCATCAAGCTATTCAGACAAGACTACAGGATGAGATAGATCAAGCGTATGAAGAGAACGAAGGAAAGTTACCAGAATACCAAATTATTCAAGAGCTACCATACCTAGAGATGTGTATCATGGAATCATTAAGATGCATGACCCCAGTAGGAGGTATGCTGAGAGCCTGCACTAAAGATTACAGATTCCCTAACAGTAATGTGGAGGTTAAAGTAAATGATTTAATTCTAATACCAGCACATGGAATACACAAAGATGAAAGATACTATCCAAACCCAGAACAGTTCAATCCAGAACATTTTTCAAAGAAGGCTAAACAATCCAGGAGTCCATTCACCTTTTTGGGATTCGGTCAGGGTCCTCGGGCCTGTATTGGGATGAGGTTTGCCCTCCTAGAGGCTAAGGTTGCAGTTATGGAGGTTTTGCACAACTATTCCTTTACATACAGCAACAAAAACCCTGAGGTTCTACGAATAGATCCTCAAAGTCAGCTGGGATATATCAAGGAAGGTCTCTATGCAAAGATAGAACACAGGAACTAAAAAAAAGAAAAACCTTCCCAATAATCTCCTCATAATTTTTTTTTTATAAAATATCATAATAATAAAAAGATATATTATATATTATATAATAAACAGTCTTAACAAATGTTAATTATTTAAGTAAGGGTTAAATCTATGTTTAAAGGAGTGTTCGCGAAAAATGAAAGGGACACCGAAGAACGTAGAGTCCATACAAATTCAGAAAGATGCAAGATTAAACTCGGATCGTAAACAAATCAATTTAATTCCAAACAAATCATTCAGATATTACAAACAATAGTCATCGATTATTTTTCGATGCATTCGTAAATAGTTGATATTTCATAATATTTTGTATTTTTCATGATCTGAGGGTTACTTTTGAAAACATTCATTCCTGTTTCGAGGATTTTTAATAATGAAGTCGAAATTTTCATATTTTCCAGGAATGTTTGAAAATCCAGCGCCAGCGAAAATTATTTAAAAAAAAAATAGATGTTAGTATTTATTTCATCTGAATCTTTGACAGTTGATTGGAAAACCTAAATACTTCTAAACTTCATTGTAAAAAAAATGTTGAGCATTTGAAACACCTTTTTTAGGTGGCCTTTCTGAAATCAGAAATTTAAATATATTTTCATATCAAAAGATTTTTGTGGTATAATAGAAGCTTTGGAAATAGATATTTTTAGCTTGGGCATAGATATTTGAGGTCTAAAGTTCAAATAAAACTTTTAGACAATTTCAATAAAGGCTGTTTTGATTGAAACAACATTCATTTATCTAAACCTCATTTTTTGATAATGTTCAGAGAGGGAGGGAAAGGCACATTCATTTTTTTAAAATGGCAAATACATTGAGGAAAAGTTAATATTGGTCGGTTTATGAAAGAAATTATATAATATTTCTAGACTGAAAAGAAGAAAAGAAAATGGAAAAATTAAAATTTAATGGAATGCTAAAATTACTGAATTATCAAAATAATTTTTTAAATTTTCTAAACCTTATTTATGAAAAAATGATAAGTTAGATAATAGAGTTGATTAAACTTTACAGGGACAAAATCAAACTTTTAGAGTTTTGCAAGCCCCCCCCCTCCCCCCCCTATAAACCTAGACATATCTTGAGCATAATATGTTTTTTTAATTATATCCTTTTCAACCAGGCTAACTAAGATCCTATTCTGCAGTACATATGTTCACTGCAGTAAAGCAGTGTGCATTCAGGCCTGCTCCAATTTTCGGAGGAGTTATTCGAGGACATTAATTTAAAGGGTGTATATTCGAGGACATTAATTTAAAGGGTGTATATTCGAGGACATTAATTTAAAGGGTGTATATTCGAGGACATTAATTTAAAGGGTGTATATTAAAGAAAAGGTTTCCACGTACCATTTACTCTCTATTCTACAGAACGAAAAATTTAAAGCTTAAAAAATCACAAACATATATAGACGAATTTTGCATTGACCAAAGAAATACAATGCCAAAAGAGGTTTTTCCTAATAGGCTGAAAACTGTAATTTTTAAGTGCGGGTTTGTACTTGTAGGTTATCAAAAAAACTATTAAATTTTTTTTGTTCAATTTTTTTGCATTGATGCAATGGCATGTATACAAACAGGGTGTGAAAAAAAATTAGTTAAGTTATTATTATTCACTCTTTAATACAAATGAAAGTTTTCATTATTTTAATTGAAAAGACAACATTTGAAGAAATTTTAAGATAAAGGAATTGAGTCTTTGTAACAAACTCTCATTTCTAATACCTATATTTTTACCACCTGATGGAGTAAACCTTTGATATTTCAAACGTAGATTCTTTTATCTAACAGAATTCATAATTTGAACTTTGAAATATCAAAGTTCTAAGACATTGGGTAGCTAAGATATAGAGATTAGAAAATCATAGTTTGTGACAAAGACTCAATTCCCTTATAGAAACAGCAAAAGTAATTTAATGATAATAAAACAATCAATTCTTTCATCGATAATTTCTCTCGAAAATATAAATTAAACATAGTAAAAAATCTCATTGGTATTAAATGAATTCTAGATTTTTTTGTCTAGAATACTGAACTCTTGGTTTAAATATGTAACCTAGCCGGGTTCTCCCTTTAAGGATTGGTTTTCATTGTTAACATATTATACAATTTGGAAAGTTTGGAACTTAATATGAGAAAATATTGTTGTAATGATTGCCTAGGTATGGAATGGTGGCTCCAAGATGGATATTCCAGATGCTGGCTCCCTTTTGTCTCCTTACCCTCTTCAGTATTTTTACTGGTCTCAAACTCAGGTGCAGGATAATAATA